CGTATGGGACAGCCCTCCGATTGCCCCTCATACGTCTCCGTCCTCTGCAATCCGCGATGCGAGCACAGAGCGCCGGACGCCAGCACTGCCGTCTGCTGCTGATGTCCCATCACCGCAGTACCGTGCCGAGATTTTGTGGAACTGTTGCTCTTCGAGCTGGAGAGTGTATGAGTAGTCGGCGGCGCGCTTGTTTGTTTTTGTTTTGTGGGTGAATGTCGCTGTGCTTGTTGCGCTGTCGGCTTTTGCGGAGTAGTTGGCTAAGTCGATATGAATTGATTTTGCGGCCTAGGTGAGGGAGGTTTCAAAGTGTCGGTTTTGATGAGCTTGGCCTTCTAGCGCCCATTTCTCGCTGCTTTCGCATTATTCTTACGTCTGTGGACACCGCGCCGGCGTCGCCGCCCATGCTAGCATCGACGAACCAGACCATCTGTCGTTTCCCGGCATTGACGAAAAATACATTCTTTCTGCTCCATGCTGCAACAAATCCACTTTGCAACACGGAGCAATCTGGGATCTCGATGACCGTCTACGATGCCGAAAAAAAACAATATTTAGCCCAAGTGAGCGCCAAGGGGGCGTCCCCCTCGCGCTTACCGCTTTCTCAAATTCAATCGCTGTTCCCGCAATGCTACTTTTCCTCTTTGCCCCCGCGATACCCGCCAGTATCGTTTGCGCCTGCCCACCCGAAGAACCCCCGGACTCCTCATCCATCTTATTCGTCGCCTTTGCCACAACCGTATCCCAAATCCGTTTCCCAAACAGCAAACCCGGCGCAACAAGCGACCCAATAATAATACAAATCGAAACCAGCAACAGCTTAAAGTTAAAATCCACGGCATCTCCCGCGAGAAATCCCGCACCAAGAGCAATGACGGATGTGACGAGGATGTTGTAGATCCCCAGAGCGATGTTTTTGGATTCGGCGAATACGCTCGATATGTTGCGTGTGAGGTATGCGACTGCTAGTCCCGCGAGAATGAGGATGCCGTTCCATCCGAAGAGGAGACCGAGGAAGATTTCGTGGTTTGGAGAGGGGGAGAGGCAGACGTAGTAGTTGCGGGCGCCGGTCTGTACGAGGTAAGGGGATGGTGGGCTGGCTAGTGTCCAGGCGACCAGAATGACCTGAGAGGGACGGTGAGCAAAGTGAAACATGTGTTTTCATCACCCCTTCCCCATGGAAACACTTACCACAGTGACGGCTGTCAAGCCGATTGCTTGCACGACCAATTTCCAGCTCCCTTGAGTGGCCTTTGCGGCGCGGCGATTAAAGAAAATCTTTGGAACAGAAAAGTGTCAGTGTAAGATCGGGGAGGCTTGAAAAGTTAATATGGAGTGAACTGGCGCTTACTTTAAAGATTCGATAATTTTTGACAATGAGGTTGCTTAAGACCTATAAAAATGGCAATCGTTCATAATTTAGAGCCAAACCGTCGACTTGAACCCATTTGTGGTCGCATACCATGGACACTGCGAGAGCGAGCAACCACACGGTCGCGGTGCACGTAGCCGTAGACGGCGCAGCAGCGAAAGTTACAACCGATAAACACCCCAACGCAGACCCCAGCGTGATAAGCGCCGAAAAGTACGCTCCCGAAGACTTGATGCGGGCTGAATCCCTAAATACAGTCAACGCCACGCACATTGCCGCAGAAATGGCCGCCCCCGCAATTCCAAGGCCCGCCATCGCTTTACTAGTAGCCGTGTATTTCGTGATTTTAATCTCGGCGGTCGTCGGGCATTGTGTTGGGTACGCGAGTTTGCCAAAGCCATCGTCCCCGCTGCCGCAGCCGTACCCGCCCGTGATATTATTGTAACATCCCACCCCGCATGGAATGCAGCCTTGCGGGTCGTCGTCAAAGCGATTGTATGTGTGTTGGGGACACGGTTGGCATAGCGAACCGAACGATGTGAAGCTCGAGTTGGGCTGGACGCCGTACAGCGGGTTGTCCGGCATGAGCATGTAGCCGCGCGGACAGCCGTATGCACGCTCTAGCGGGCCCATTTTTAGGTACCAGTTTTTGAGACCCGTGATGCCAGTGTTCATCTTGATTGCCAGGTGGTACGTGGCGTAGAAGCCCGTAGCGTATGGCTGCGTCAGAAAGGCTCTAGAAATCTCGCCGGCGTTAAGCGCTGCAACGACATCGGCGCTTTTGCCCAGCGCCACTACCGCTTTCGCTTTAATGGAGCTCGGCGTGGGCAGCCCACCTGCGTGGTTGTTTTTCTGTAGCCATGCGCGGTAGCTATTGACTGTCGCAGAAGACGCGAGTAAAATCCCATCAACGTTGGCGTTCGAAAGAATCGCCGACGCAAGAGCTGTGTAGGCGTTGCTAGCGTACTCGGCGTCGACAAACACAAAGGTGGACGGTCCGCCAAGTGTGATGCCCTGCGAGGAATAATAGTCTGTCATTCCCTGGCAGCGGTCCATGTAGCCAGACACAAAGCCGTCGTGGTAGAAACACAGCGGCGAGAGCGAACCGGTAGAGTTGTACAGATACTGAGCGGCCGTCCATCCCAGCTCGTAATCACTCGCGCCGACTTCGAAAACAAGGTTGTTGACGTCGTTCAGCGCTGTGTAATCAGCGTCTTTCTGAATACCAATGACGGCCAGCGCCACGTTGTATTGATAGGCTTTGGTCTTTGCAGCGGCAACAAAGGCGTCGGTGGCCCGAGATATGATGACACCTTGAGGGCACGGCTTATTTGCGGTTGGGCTGCTGCCACAGCCAGCGAAAACTTGAGTCAGGTAGTCATTGAATGTCGCCAGTACGAACGAAGTGGTTGCGCTGAAAGTGTGGTGCTCTTCTTGAATAGCATAGCCCCACGCATTCGCCGCGTCTTGTATGCCTCGCAGGACATTTGGCATTTCAGAGTCCCGATCGTTGCCATGCAGGATTACCGCCAGCCGGTGAGTCTGCGGCGCGGCGAGAATGGTGCCGAGGTTGTTTAGCGTGTCGGTGAAGAACGCGACATTGGACTTGCAAAATGACACAGAATTAGTCATAAGGATCAGAAAATGGGGCGGCTCGCAATCGCACACATACACTTTCGACAAATATCGGCCCAGTTAGCGCCGCTCCAACGATGGCTGTCTCGTTCACCGCCGCCAATGTGTACATGTACGCGACTGCCAAGAAACCCAAAAACACTTCTTGCTGGTGCACGGCAAACGTTACGTCGAGCGACGCAACACGCGCTGCCGACGCTGTCGTGAAATCATACGTCGCGAACCGAATCACCCTGCTAGGCGTGGCGGTCTTGACCGTTGCCAGAGCGGCAATGACGACGTCCATCAGCTGACCAGAGCTGATGATTATCGCATCCACGTCCGTTCGCGTGGTTGTAAGTTTTGTTGATAGGTCCGAGGATGCAGTCACCTTTGAAGCGGAGACCAACAAGCAATAGGGGTTCGATTGGGGATTCGAGGAATTGAAAGCCGTTGTGAACTGCACACCCGCACCGTAAAACGCTTGGTATCCGGCGAACCACCCGGCGCATCTCGCTTGGGCACTGGCGGAGGAAGAATGCTGGATGCACATGCCGTAGTGCGAGCCCAGGCCTGCCATTTTAAGCGCTAATCCGACACGAGAGGCTTACATGGTTAGATGGATGGCAGTGCACGCAGGTTAGGTGTGCATACAACTCACCGGCTTCGTACCCCGAAGTGTAGTCGTCCATTCCAACGTGGGTGGGAATGCCAAGACCGGGAGATATCGTCGAGCCGCCGCCTGAAGTCACAAGCGGCACTCCGGTGTCGTACATGGCTTCGGCAAACACATCGTTGTAACCGGTCGCATCTTGGATAGTTGTGGTAAATGCAGTCGGAGGATTCGCCGCCGAGAGCCCGACATTTGCGCCAAGTAGGTTGATTAGAGTCTAAGCATCGTTATCCTTTGCCACCTTAATGCTATGGTCAACTTTTAAAATATTTGCTTTTCGCCAGACGAAGACATGCAGAAGCGTCAGTTCATTTGAGTTTTTTTAAAGCGCGGAAGCAAAAGCGCTCGGACGTACCGGAACTGTTAAAACCGCTCCAGACTGCGTTATAGTAAACAAGGTTTGTGGAATACGGAGAAATAATCAAGAAGGACATTTTGGACTTGTCCGGAAAGCTCCGCGGATGTGCCGGCCCGCCCAGTGGCATGGGCGGGCGGGCCGCCAGCCCGCTCGGCGGCAACAACGCGAGCGGCAACAAAAGCCAGCATAGGAGCAGCGCTGAGCACATATTTTTTTCTTTATATCGTGCGATCGGTATAAATCGGTACTCAGAAGCAACGATATTGGCAATAGTGTGTTTTGGGAAGCTCGATGCCCGAGCACCGGGCGGAGTTTCCACTTACCTAAGCGGATACATTTTCCCGCTCACCGGAAAAAATGACCCAGCAGGCTGTCGGGGGGCAACTGCTAGGCCACCGTCTGTGTGCATCATTGAAAACGGGATGCGGCCTTCCCTTACCCATATCGCATGAAATTGTCGATTAGCAAGCCAGATAAAAGCGAACCCGCGAGTGCTGGCTGTCGTGCCCGCTTGCAAATGGACAGAAAACCATCACGACAAGGAGTAGGGACACAGATTCATCTTTTGCTCCAACCGCTCTGTGCAGCTAGCGTCGAGGCGCGCGCTACCGTGGTATTGCGACCGACTGGCTTTGTAACCAAGCTGTTGACTCTAGGACAATTTTTAAGTCTATCTCCCATATATTAATTCGCCCCACATGTTGTCCCCTTCCAGTGCTGCCAGGCCCCTTCCGTGTCGCAACATCAACAGAATGGAGCAGGTTTAGCACTGAAGATCAAAGGCGACGCCGAACGATGTGTGTCAATGGGGGGGATGCAGCACCACATCTCAGGCTGAAGATCCTAAACTAGGAGTCTTTTTTCAGAAATACATTGAACATGTTCTCTTCTGCTTCCAATGGGAAGCCTCGTCAAAGTGAACACAGCTGAGGGTGGTGTGTACTTGAAAGGTTGTTATGGCATTAAGGAGTGGGTAAAATATCGAAGCATCCGTAGTATAGTGGTTCAGTATGCTCGCCTTCCAAGCGAGCGACCCGGGTTCGAGTCCCGGCGGATGCATTTTTGCCCTCCGACCACAATTTTTAACGTTTTCAGCGCCCAGCGGCCCCAAGCGGCCTCGACTTGTCGGGCATCCCGAGTTCTTGTCGTCTCCTCTTGTCGTCCACTCTGTCTTCCTTCCTTCCTTCCTTCCTTCCTTCCTTCCTTCCTTCCTTTCTGTTCCGTCGGCCGGTCCAGCTTTCTGTCTCGCCGTTCGCCTGTCGGCTCCTCCGCCTTTGCCCGCCTGACGGCTCTGCAACACAGCCTCATTACACTCCCAGCCGCAACCCGACGTCCCGAAAGAGAGGCTCAGACTCACCGTCGTCATTGCCATTTCCCCCGGCCCCGCTTGGCCCTTGGCTAGAGCTTAAACCCCGCCTGCTAATACGGTGTATATTACCTCTCGCCTCCTGGTCTGCGACCCCGTTTGCCCTCTCTCGCTCACGCTATGCGGAATAGCGCTTTCGCCGTGCTGGGCTTCCTTGCCACGGCCTGCGTAGGCGTGCTCGCCGTCGACTACGATCAGTGTTATGGAGACAACAGGACCTCGTGGGCCATGCTGCCGGGCGATTTCCCTGTCGCAAAGCTTAATGCAACCAATAAGCCCGACGACGGCACCGCACGTGCTGCCAATGAGTGTGAGGTAATGGAGCAAGGAGGGAGGAGGAAAGGAGAGAAATGAGGCAGCGATTGCAATACGATTTCTAAACCCTATGCCTACTTTTCCCTTGTTAGTGCGCGCAAGCGTGTCAGAAAGTTGATCCTCCTTGCGCCTTTTTTACTTGGGTACGCGAGCGACGGAAGTGGGCTGCGTTAGGCAGCTCGTTTAAATTCGACAATCGTTCTGACCCGACATTTGCTGTGTCTTCTTACAGGATAATAAAGATAAAACATGCGCCATCCGCCGGCTCACCCATGTAGACGGCGTGACGACAACGTTCATGGCCGGCGTAAACGCGCCGCTGTACTTCGTTGACCTCGCCGTGCCGTGGGTGGGCAAAACGCTGCCATTGGACTTTGACGTTGACGGCGCGAATCCGATCACCAATGTCACAGACCAGGACACGTGCATCCATGCATGCCAAACTCGCGGCCCGGACGTCTGCAATGCCGTAACGTATCGGCGAGGCACGTTGGATTGTTGGTTGAAAAAGCTAGACGCTGTGCCCCACACGTTTATCGGGGTCAGAACTGGTAAGCGCAAACGATCCAGCCGGCAGGCGCCATTTGGGTCCCCAATTCTTAATCTTTGAGCTTTCTAGGTATCCCCATTACGGAATCTCAGCAGGTACAGAAACCCGGCGGCGGCGGCGGCGGTTCCGGAAACGGGTTGAAAATTGGCCTTGGTGTCGGCATCGGCGCGCTCGCAGGTGTCCTTGGCGCGATAGGCGTCTGGTTCTGCTGCGTCCGCGGCAAAAAGGAAAAGCAACGTCCTACTGATGAGTTCGAGCAAAACGATGGTTTCAATCGCACATCGACCGCCTTCTCGGGCACTCCGTCTTCAGAGGCCTCATTCAAAAACAATCAGCCACATTCACCAAGCAGATGGTCAAATGTGTCTGACACATCGCGACCCGCTGGCGCAGCGGCATCCGCGGCAGGATTCGAGACTTATCAACAGTACATGGAGCACCTGCGGCCTCCGCAGCCGCGTCCTGGGTCTATGCTACCACCCGGTCGGCCGTTATCAACTCACTACTCGTCAGAAAGCGGGATGAGTGGCTATCAAAACAGCAATCTTGCTGTTCCGCTCGCTTTATCGCCAAAAGCTTTTGAGGCCGAGTCTGGGGCGGGCCCACACCCGACGCTCCCGCCTCCGCAATATGTTACATTACCACATGGCGCCGCGGGCTCCACGGCGGCAGGGAGCGTCGCGTCAGATGTGGCCACAGCTGGCCAGGGCACTGCAGGAGCAAAGACCGAGTCGGTGGCGACTCCGTCTCCAACCGTGAGCACGGCGCCATCGCTGCCCACCCCTGCTGCTGGCGGTGGCGGTGGCACAGCCAGCGCTGGCGGCGTGCCGTGGGTCGATGCACAAGGCATGGCTCTGGAAAAGGACGAATTTTTCATGGATCGAGTGCATCTTGTGAAGGTGAGCGCTCAAAACCTGCATATGCGGTGCGCCTGGCGCATTGCAGGCCTCCGGCAATCGCTGATATATAGCTTCTTTCGTGATCTCAGCGAATGTACTCGCCGAAAGCGCCGGACGAAATTCTCGTGCGGCTCGGCGACTCGGTAGTTTTGCAGAAGCTCTGGGGCGACGGCTGGGCGACGGGAATCAACACAACAACGGGCCACCAGGGAGTGCTCCCGCTCGCAGCCCTTGGCCTAGAGCCCGACGGAAGTCAGGCTCCCGCGTCCGTGCAGGCAAAAACCGGCGAGCTGCCGGAAACTGAGACGAGAGAGAGGAGCATGGACCGGCGGTGACGGTGACAGGGAGCGATATAGAGACGAGATAGGCCGTTCGCTTCCGTCCTCCGTATTTCGCTCTCTTTTTTTGTTGTTTTAGCCTAGCGTCCCAGGCTCTTGCGAGAGACTCCTACACGGCCAGCGCCGTTGATTTACTTAGTTGTTTGCATTTTTCCCCCACCCCCTTTTTGTGTAGACCTTTTTTTTGTGATAGAGAGATTGGAAGCCGCTGACGTAACACGCGCCTTGGGTCAAACTCCGCCCAAGCGTCTCCCAATGCAGCAACACAGCGCCCAGTGCATGGAGGCAAGCGGCCCGTCTCTTCCATCATCAATCATCGAAGCCCATTGTCGACTCGCTTTACTCCTTTGGTCCCGCCCTGAGACGCTCCAGCTTCGCATCGACGACCTTCGCGAAGGAGGAAACGCTTTTTGTGCCTGAGACAAGTGCACTATCGGATTTCTGTCGAGTGAGCTATTTGTCGCCCGCCCACATTATTTTGCAAGAGGGGGGTGAGCTGAGCTGACCAGCTCCGCCTTGCAGGAACGTTGCTGGGAAATCTTATAGGAAGGCGCTGTTGGCCTTTTGCGCAAGCAACCACGCAGCTGGTCTGGGTCGGTTGAAGCATATACCTGCGGGCCGGAAACCATCGCACGCCATTGCTAGCGCGGCGGTGATTGCCAAAATCCCGCATTGAGGACAAAACGATAATGGCGACATCATTTCCACGCGCAAACAGGGTTACGGAAATTATATCAACGTCACCGCGAGGCAGCACCGGCGCGGTCCAGTCGTCAACGCCTCCACCTCCGCGGTTTACGCTGGACACGCAATCCACCACTGCACAATCTGGATCAATGTCTTTACCGCCGCCGTCACCGATCTCGCCATCGCATATAAACGTTTCTTCGTTGCCGCGTAAAGCGCTGCAGAATTTGGCGTCGCAGAACCACGCTCGGGATATGAAGGGGTCGTTTCCTGGGTCGATGAATTCGAAGAGCTCGTCGGTCGGGCTGGCCGCCGCTGTCGGTAGGCACAAAGCGGAGGGATAGTCTTGAAGCCTCCGCAAGGCATTTGTGTAAACTGCTGATCATTTTGTATTTTGCTACTTGTTCCCTCTGCAGACCGAAGTGCTACACATCCGACCGGCACAATGCCAGGAATGATTCATAGCCCAAGCCGTGAAATCAATCAATCGAGTTTCATTAGCAGCTCGAGCAATGTGGGTAGCGGCAGCGGCGTTGGCGGCGGAGGCGGTGGCGGTAGTGGAGGCGGCGGCGGAGGGCGCCCAGGCGTTGCAGCGTCCGGCAAAGCAGACAACAGCATGATGATTCTATCCCAAGCTGGCGACTTAACTGGAGCCACAGGCCCAACCGGATTTTTCCCATCCCGCCCAAATCTCCACCCGATCCTGTTATCTTTTGACAGCGAGGAGCAGGAAAGCGAGTACAACCTGTTTTTTCTCAACCGCCATCGCTTTGTGTGGCGACGGACAGTCTACCTCATCTTTTTCGCCGCGACTTGCCTCTATGCGTACGTGATGATAAGAAGCCCCGCTGATGGACGGAATTGGACGCGGCTATACTCGGACGAGGCAAAGTTGACTGGAAACGGGTCGCTTGACTATAACAACTGTCCGGCAGGGTGGTATTGGTAAGCCCACGATGAAAAAACTTTGGTAGAGAAGAAACGGCCAGACTTTAACGCCTTGTTTTGTACTTTGCAGTATGAGGTGCAATCCCGATTATATCTGCAACGCGTACCACGTCGGTGGAGATTTGGGATTTTGGCTCAGCATGATTCTGCTACCGTGTATCGTGCTAATTATGTTCAGCTACAAGCTTAAAGACGCCGTACTCGCTCAGTGGATCCACTCTTTGACCGCCGTATTTGTACTGTGTTATGCGGCCGGCGGGGTCATCATGCGATACATCATTGTGGAGCCAATGACACCCGTGTTCCAGCCCGCCCTGCTGTGCATCATGTTTATCTTTGTCGCAATCATGTTTATGCGACCACGGTTCGTTTACGCCGTGGCCAGCATTTCGGTGATTGTGCTCTTCTTCATCGCCGGATACGCCTCGCACGTCGCAAACGACCCGCAGTACTCGCCCTCTACGGCAAAAACCTACATCATCTCGGTTCTAGCGCTCGTCATCTCGGCCGGCGTGATCATGTTCAACACTTACGAGACAGAAGTCTACAACCGATCGCAGTTTGGAGCCGCATACAGCCTGCATAAAACGAATGCAAAGCTGATGAATCAGCTTAAAGTGCTGCAAAAGGCCTATGGGCGGAAAGTTGCGGATCTTGACTCGCCGCTGGAAAAGTCGGTTATGCTGATCAGGAGCTTGATGGCGGATCCTGTGAATACGCCATCACATCTCATGACGCTTGGGCAGGTCATGACGCTTTTGGGATCGAGTAATTTGCTGACACCGGATTTGGAGAACCAGGCAGGAGAACTGATGGACAATGAGCAAGAGGTAGGGCACCGAGAGCGCACGAAGGAGCTCGTACCCGCACTTGGTGTGAGTTTGAGATTGACAGCTGTTTTGACGGAACTTTTGGTTTTATAGAAATGGCTGTTCTCAGAGATCCAGCCGAGGCGG